GAGCTAAACTCTGCAGGACACCGGCCCTCCAGGACCGAGTTTGGACAGCCCTGGTCTAGATGTATGTGCTGTTTATCTATGCATATTGGCTGCTTTTCTGTCTAATTGTCTTGTATTGGTCTTTTCTCATGGGGAGTTTGTTATACTGTTTTTGTCATTTTGATTCTTTGGTTCATTTCTTAATTTTGGTGTATGTTGAGGACTACATAGTCAACATTTGAAGTGGATAAAAAAAGTTCAGCAAAGTTGTCCTAAGACAAGAACACATTTTGGTTTTAGGGCAACTTTGATGTAAGGTTTTGATCTACTTCAAATGTTGACTACTATATATCAAGTGCCTCCCTCTCTAAAGAGAAATAGCAAAGGAAAGACTGGATTGATGATGTGAATCTTGAGTGCTCTTGCTGTTGAACTGTTGAACTCCTCGTAACCAGTGAAACTGTCATTTAAAATCATTATGTGGTTTGGTTAATTAAATCAAATAGCAGTGAGTTTGTCCTAGAATGGAATGTATCTAGGACTAGATTAGGCCATAGGCTTCATTACTTCCTGTTCTGTACAAGGTCACTTCCTGGCTGCTCTCCTCTGGCGCGATGGGAGGAAGTGGGTGCGGCTGTCCGGTAAAATTGACCAAAATGCAAGATGGTAAAACTAACCAAGTTAAAGTCCGATACACATTTTAGCACTTTTGTGAATAGCTCAGTACTCTCGCATCACCTGTTGTTTTCATACAGGACGATTATAAGAAAAAGATAATAAACTTTGCTAAATTAATTACATTGTATGCAAAAGTTTCTTGTCTGTAACTGTTAGGGTCTGTCTGACGTTAATTCAGTTCAATCAGGTGAATTTCACAACCTTCCTTTTAGTAGTAAAATGGAAGACCAGACCACAATTGGTTTCATTAGAAAGAAGCGATTGAATTTTCAGAGACTGAGTGTTTTTCAAATGCATCAAGGCTAAAATACTGGCTGTTCATGAAAGGCCTGTTCGTGGAATCTCACTTTGGAGGAAATTGACATCATGTGGAAAACGGAAGTAGCTGCGTTTGTGACACATGACTTACTGTTCCCAGGACACACTTTGCTATTGTCCTCCTCCTCTCGCCCTCTTTACCACATTATCTCTCCGTTTCTCTCTAATTTTGGTCTTGTATGTGTGTGTCTGTCTACTGTATAGGTTTGTCTAGAGGCTCATATTTGTCTACTTGCATGCACTGTATGTATGTTTGTTGTTTATTAGTTCAGAGAGTGTCCAAAGTTTTTGTGTATATATGTGTGTGTGTGTGTGTGAGAGAGAGAGAGGATTGCAGTGTGACAACTTGTTTCCCGGTGTCCTATCAGAGTAGGAGAAGTGGGGGAAATGGAAAGCAAAGAATGAAGGAGCTGCAAGAAAAGAAAAAAAGAAAAAAAAAAGAAAGTATGCTAAAGCCTTTTGTGTGGGGCAACCTGTAGTGTTGTCCTGGGCCCTGTCATCATATAAGATGTAGTGTACTTGTTGGGCCTAAAAAAGAGGGGGCCCAACAATCAAGATGTTGTCTCAGGCCCATGAATTTTAGTGGTCACTCTTTTCAGAATAAAACTCTACAGAATTGTATGTATATGTATAGTTTATATGTGTTCATATGTATTTTGTCACATTTTTTTTGTATGACATGTTTTGGTTGCATGTATAAGTTGTCTTGAAAGTTAGTCTAGTATTTGTTAGTATCTGCTTTTGCTTAGAGGCAATACTGAGAAGAACGAGGACTCAAAAAAGTGGAGTCAAAAATAAAGATATACAATAGGGTTGGGCCGATAGACGATGCCATCGTCCATCGCCGATGGCTGATAGACATCAATCGTGAGCCCCCCCCCCATTCCCCCCGCATCCCAATACCATGTTCGGAAAGAAAATGACGTGTAGGCGGAACCCCTAAAGGAAATAAATATGAGATGGGAGGAAAATATATATTTCAATATTTTCCTTGCAGTTATATAATTGGGTAATTATACTACATATATATTTCAGCATTAGGGAGCCGCTATTATACCTGGCATTGAAACTGGCATCATGCTTTTGAATGCACGATCGCTTTTAGTTTCACTTTCACTTTTGAGATTCCCGATCGCACGTACTCCGTTTATACTATGGAGCAGCAGTACTTGCCACACATTTGACAAGATTATATGTTTGTCAGTGGTACTGAGGATCTGCAAATCATTTGCCATCGTCCTCAGTCATCTCTCCTTATTCTGTTTATGTGGTAAGTGAAATTTTATACTGTAATGTAACAGGCAACCATTACACCGTGTCTACACCGGACGCGACAGTTGTCGTGTGGCGCCGCATCAGCTAAAGTCTGTCTACACTGACTGGACGCGACAAAGCGACCGTTGAAAATCATTTGAAATTTGTGTCAGCACATCATAAATAGAACGCGGCTGCAGTTTACTGTCGGGTGTCGTGTGGCGCCGCACCGCATCCAGTGTAGACAGCATCACTGATTATAATGAGTTCTATAGACTGATCTAGGCCTATATATAATAAATCTCTATTATAGATCAGTGGTTCTATAGTATTTTGTCACGCCGCGCCGCTCGTGTCCGGTGTAGACATGATGTTAGGAATAGTGTTTTACCTTAATCATGCTTCGGGCACACCCCCTAACTCCACCCCCACACCCCTCTCCCCACTCGCCCTCGATGTCATCGTTCATCGCGATGTCCGATGCCAATTTTGTAGACATCGCCCAACCCTAATGTACACAATGCTGTAACATAGCATGTTACATTGCAAAGAATAAAAAAAAAGTTATTCCAGTATGCCAGTAATTTATTTTTTATTTTTTGTAGATTACAGATATAAGAAGACGCTTTGCTATATTGTCTAAATAAATTGAGCACAAAACATTGAAAATCATTTTTAAGGCTACAAGTGAATTCAGACATTACCATGTTTATAATGTACAGTATGAAAACTGGATATTCATGTTGAAATCTGCAAAAGGTTACATTTAACAGTGTTATTAAACTATTAATGATTAACTTTAAGGGTGTGTTTAACGGCAAAGGTAATCTAAATGTAAAAACTGAGGATATGAGCGTGTTCAGTTAAACATACTATATAGACTGATATGAATAAATTAATGTGTAATATCAGCTGTTAACTGATGTGTTACTTATATATTATACATTGGTCCGGCAGTAACACATACACTTCAGCATTTTTGTTTTACTTTGATAAGAAATT